GCACTGTGTGAATTAGATGACTAGTGCCACCTCGTTGAATAATCAAAAACAACTAATACAAACCAAAGATATTTCCTACAGTGCTGTTAGGTGAACAACTTTAATGAATGTACTCAAAGACTGAATAGCTCACAAATCAAGAAAAACTCAGAAAAAGAAAATGAGATCGAACCTACTGGGTTTTTTGTAGTGAACATTTCTACTGTTTTAGCTGGTCTCTTTCTGGCAGGAGGATGATGCTGTCCCCTTTGCATTCTGCTCACTACATTTCCTCAAGCCCAGGAGCCTGTTCTTAATTCCTTTTCTGTTGCTAGGGCTCCTAAAACTGCCTTGTGTCTTTTATGCTGTCATATTTACTTGCACTAAAAGGTACTGCAAACCATTTTACGATCATGTATAGCACCACCTTTTACTTGTCACCACATTAGAGTCTTGTAACATTACCATTTTAAACCCTTATTTCAGGCTTTATAAATCCTGCCTGCTTCTAATTATATCAGACTGAAGGCAGAGGTGTAAATGTTAACCCTGCAGATTGATTTACTGGACATAGAAGGGGGGGATGTTTTTATAAAGTAGGAAGCATTGAGGAGGATAGTCATTTTGCATAGTCTTCTTTAACATTAGGTTTTAACTCACAAGAGAACACAAAAGCTCTGATTATTTACTTTGTAAGGAGAGAGAATTTGAGTGGAATTAATGACACTGTAGTATTAAGAAATAGAAGAAACATACCTAATATTTGTCAAAGGTTGCGTTTTTACATTGTCCCATACAGAGAGAACACAGAGGAGTACTTTAAGAAATTAAGAGCTAATATAGATACATAAAACAAAGAAAAATATTTTTTCTTTATAAAGTCTGTGGTTGGTGAGTTCCCTGGGGGTTAATCAAATAAAATATTGTGGCTGAATTAAAAATAAGAGCTATCAGTTTCACACTGTTTAAAAGCAGATATTCCTTTACAAAGTACAGGTCATATCCTTGCCAAGTGAAAATTGGTATTCTTCTGTTTTGCAAGTACAACGTAGGAACTGCTGATTCCTGGAGTAGGGAAACACTGGCACAAGCTACCTGGAGACTAGGAAATATTTGAGGGTTGGATTAGTAGGTAGACAATGCCGTCTTTGCCTTAGTCTTCGCCTAGGCCTTCATGCTTTGTGAATGGATTCAAGGAGAACTAACAGGAGTGAATCAGGTTAAAATCAAGGATTACCTGACTAAGCCCAACCTCCAACAAACCCATAGGTTCTGCTAGGCTGCAGCGCGCAAGGGCATTGGGAGAGCTGGCTGATGTCCTTGCTGACTGCTCAGTTACCTTTGAAACACCAAGGAGATTGGGGGAGGTCTGCAGTGACTGGAGAAAGACAAATTTTACACTCATTTTTAGAGCAGGTCAAAAGGATGAGGTTGGAAACTCACCTGAGGAGGGAGACCGTTCAGTCTCCTTTTGGCCCCTTGGGGAAAACTGGAGCGAGTCCTGTAGAACAGATTTCTGGGCACCTGGAGTAGAAGGTGGTGGCTGAGAACAGTCACCATGGATTTAGCAACTGTACATGATGCCTGATAAACCTGGTTACCTTCCATGATAAAATAACTGGCTTTGTGGATGAGAGGAGGGTGGATATAATTTACCTTGACTTTAGTAAGGCTTTTGACACTTTTTCTCACAATATTCGTGTACCGAGTTAAGGTGTTACAGTCCTGATGTGTGGAGAGCTAGGTAGGTTAAAAAAAAAAAATGAATGGTTGGGCTCTGGTTAATTGTTGGGACACTCCTTGGAGACTGGTAACAAGCAGGGTGCTGCAGGGAGCCAGTCCTGTTTGACATCTTCATCAGTGACCTGGAGGAGGTGACAGAAAGCACTTTCATCAGCTTTGTAGATGACACAAAATTTGAGGGACCAACCAATAGTCTTGAGGTCACGGCTGCCACTTGGGGGGACCTGGGCAGGCTGGAGGGATGAGTGGCATGTACTCTGTTTTTAATACCCTGGAGCAAAGCTCTGTTGATTTATATAAGCAGAGGATGTGATACAAAATTTAAAGATCTTTCTCAGCCTGTTCCAGTTCTTTTGTTTATCATGCAGCTGTGCTTATTAGTTTTTGCATGCTTTTTAATCTGTCCTTGGAAGTGGACTATTGAGCACTGACCAGGGCCAAGGGACCAGAAATATCACCACAGAACCATATTCCTTTATTTCGGCTGTCAGTATGTTCCTGCTCCCCTTCCTGTCTCTTAGGCCTTGGTAAATCTCATAAAATCCTTTTCAGATTGAAATCCTACTCTTCCAAAGCTGTAATATTTTTTATAGCATGTATTTCTTTGTAGTTGTCTTAGTCTCTTGTTGACAGACTTTAGGTACCAGTTCCCTGGCTGGTAAATGTCTTCCTTATTCTTAAATTTATCCACTTGTTTTGTTCAGAGCAACACATGGGGATAATAGATTGGCTCACTACCACCTGACACTGCTTCTAAGTCCTTATTGCTATGCCAGTTTTTTTGTAATACTGAATCACAGGGATGTCTGGAAGAAGCCAACAGCATTTTGCCCACTTATACACCTCCCAGAAGAGTTGCAAGCTGCCTGGATTTCTCTAATAAACTCACTAAATAGATGTGCTTTTACAGAAGGTGTTCCAATAGTTTAACAGATTTATTCAAGAAAGTAATAATAAATAGCTGTTTCAAATGTCAAACTTAAGACTCACAAAATGTAACTATATACATACATAAGATCAGAACATAAATCAGCACAGTAAAACAGCTTTGTAAATATTTATGAAGGCAGGGCTCTTTCTTTGTTTCATGCTTACTCCTCCTGTGTCCTCATCTTCAATTTCCACTTGCTTTAGTTTATGGCTGGTAGTAGTCTTGACTGGGTCGCTGACATTGTTAAATTGCCCCCTGTTTCCTCTGGTATCACATACACCATAATCCTAAATCTTTATTGACTGCAGGCGAATGTATGCTCTATCAAAAGAGATGTGTTTGCATGCAGGGGCACATTCTGATTTCTGATGAGCCTATGTGGAGTTTAGCAAGCCCCGCACTAGTTGAGACATAGCCTGGATTTCCTTATGTGAGCTGCCATTCCTGAGGTGGCTGCAGAGGAGGCAGGACCTGTCCCTGTGGTACAGTTAATTTTTCTCTTCAATTTCTAATACTGTTCAGTAACTTGCATCAAAATCTCTGGTTTATTCAATTGCATTTTCTCTCTATTTAGCCGGTAGGAAATAGCATGATGTTAATTGATGTAATCATCCTAAAAGTAAACTTGCCAAAGATTTTCCATATTTGTTCAACTGGATCTTTGAAGGTCTTGACTGACCAATCTGGACCGAGATATGTCCTTCTTCTTGATAGTCTACTGTCTCACAGAGCCTTTCTGACTGCATCCCACGGGATGTCTGAAAGTGTCACTGTGCACGTCTTGCAGTTCTTGTGGGCAGTCCAGGATGAGTCTCTGCATGGAAGAGCTGGTCTCTGCTGCTTCATGGGAGGCTCTGACAAATTGAGAGCTGTTGCTCCTGAGAGCCTGCCAGGCTGCTTCACATGTATTTCTGCATGTCTTCAGAGAAAATACATAGAATGAGCGGAAAGGGGCTTGGGGATGTGAAAACATTTTCCATTATGTTTGCTTGTCCTGGTTTGAGCTTTGGAAGAGGAATGTGATTCACTGTCTTTTAAACAATTGCTTGTATTTACTTGTAATTGCACTTTCATCAGTGCAAAATAATGAAGGAGAAAGATTAGCATTCTTTTGCATGCAAGCTTTTTGAAAGACTTCTATATATTGCACATATTTAAATCATTTAATTATTTAATTGTATTTATGTAGATTTAAGCATCTTTCTGATTACGGTGGTATCATTTATTAGTAATTCCCTTGAAGTGAAGTCTATGATCATAGATTTGGTGTAAGCATAAACAAAATATGTCCAAAGACTAATTTCTGAGAGGCTTATGGCTCTTCTCCCTGGCAAAATCTGCCAGATCAGATTTTGCATCTTTTTAAAACACTCTTCAGGCACACCCCTGGTGTGCTAGAGGAAATAAAATTCTGTTTAATCAAATAGGACAGTCGTCCATGGTGAATTGTGTTGATCATGGCTTTTACTTCGTGGTTTGCCACAGGAAAGGTCTGAGGTCTTTTGCAGGTGAGTTAACTTCCACACGTCCCTTTACCTCGTGTAGTTCTGAGCAAGTTGTGTTGCTGGTTTCGTGCTGATCCTCTGCTGCTTGTCAGGGATGTCGTGCTCTCCACAGCCGCAACTCTAGGTGGAATTCAGGTGTTGTGACCCAAGGACAAGTGTGGCACCAAAGAGTGATCGCCATGCAAGTATGGACATCTCACAAGGAGTTAATGCTGGCATTACATTCCATCCACTCTTTCTCATTTCAGGAAACTTCTGATTCTATGAAGTTTATTGAGTGATAAGAGGAGTTTTTCCTCAAAGTAATAGATAGGGTGGGTGCACTGGCCAAGTCTGAGCTGTTCCCCTGAACATGCAGCTCCAGCTTTTTCTGCAGCAGGGAGCAGCGTGTGAACCCTCAGAAATGGTGGCCTCGGTGTTACGTAGCTGCTTTCCCTGCAGTCCTTCCCTTCGTCCTGGAGGATACAGGACTGGGTTCCCTGCTGAATCTTCCTCTGAAGATTGTCCCATCTCGGGGACACTGGGATTGTGAACAACCTCTGTTTGCAGTGCTAAGTACGGTAAATGCTATTGTATTATCCAACAGTAGCAAATGAAATAATCCCCCTTCCGTCCCTTCCTAACAGGATAATGTTAAAGGCATTCCTCTGAGATGGAGAGTAATAATTTGTTAATTCCCCTCGGTATTTCATGCTTCTCAATAGTGCAGCTAATTTTCTCTGAGTACCTTATTAACATTCACAGTGACTTTGCGGTCCCACCCTAATAGCTCTCCACAGAGACAGCGGCTGTGAAGGTGAGAGCTGGCAGAGGGACACATTTTCTCTCCTTTTCCTATGCAGACTGTATTATCCTGGTTTTCATCCACTGAGGGCAGTCCAGCTGATGCGAGTGGGCAAGCTGCAGTATAGTCAAGACATGTTTCCTCAAGCCCTGGAGACCTTGAAACAGGTCAGTGTTTGTGAACTGTGTTTCCTCTCCTTCCCCGCTTCCCTTTGCATCCCCTGGACCCACTATGTCTCCTTTCCCCTTCCGTTTTGACTGTACCTTGTGTCTTCAAGTATTTCTCAGCATATTTCTATCGGTGCTGTAGCTGAGTGTGGTGATGGGTTGCCGTTGCTTGCAGTGTTTCAGGCACAAACTTCCTTTAGTATCAGTCACTGCTCTTTGCAGTTCAGTAGCTCAGAAGTGCATGAATGGAAAATAACTGCTAAGGAGGTGCCTTATGCGCCTCCTCTTACTGTGTCTGAGTAAGCTCTGAGCTGGTCACTGCTGATATGCAGAACCATGGAAGATTTCAAGCCTTGGTGTCCACCTCGGCAAGCTGTGGGCGAGGTGCCATGGCCTTCAGGAGGACGTTTGGAGCGGTCGCTCCGTGGGAGCCCAGCCTGTGTGCGCGGCCAGACAGAGCTCCTGGCTGCACGTCCACAGCTCCCCTTGAAGCAAGTGTGAACCCCGTACAAATGTTCAGGGAGATGGTGCAAATGGTGAAAGCCAGCAAACCAGAATAAACATTGTTATCTCTGTGTCACAAACGCATCAGCAAAATGAAGCCCAAGCCCCTGCCTCTCTGAAGGTTTTGCTAGGAGCCATCTAAGGGGAGGCATATCTCAATAGGAAGGGCATGAGCAGCATCACCAGTGCAGATGAGCGTTAAGCTTTTAATGGCCAGGAGAGTAAGGTGTGCAGCAGTTAAGGTGTCATTAGTAGATGTCTTGGATAATGTGGTTTGTCCTGTGCGAGGAACTTTTTATGATGATGTTGCCTTTCTCATCTTACAGTGTATTTATCCATAAGACAACAGAGAAAAAATGTTATCATCTCCCTTTTCCAGACAGGAAATTGAAGCACAGGGAAACACGGGAGGTTCTAGCACAAGTTATCACTGTTTTCCCCTCCTTCCTCCCTTCTTCTTGCATGTCTAAAACTGAATGCCAGAAAATGGATTGCTTATGCCCTGTTCATAGAACTGACAATAAAATAGTTGCAATTTACACAAACCAGCAATTCCTGAGGTCTTATGGGACCCTCTGGCTTCTCCATTTACACTATTATATTATTTTAGTACTAATAAAATATGGCTATTTTAACCCTTTATTAGTGCAGAAATTGGCTGTATGTCCCCTTAGTTTAATATTCATGCTACATGAAGAGCTGGTTGTGTTGCAAAGTTTTAGGGCAGCTGATTAAGATAGAAGGCAAGGAGTGTCAGTGCTGCTGGAAGTGGGGATCAGAGGGAGGACTGATCCTTACACCTGCCTGAAACTCCTGTAGTGTTAATGTCTGTCATGACTCCATAGATAGCTTAGTACTTTGTAGTTACTTTTTTAAGCCCCAACATTTATTAGGTTTTAACATGTGATTAATTATGCATGCTGAATGACTGATAATTTCCGGATGTTTTAATAATAAATCAGTATTTGATATGATGACTGTCTTGCTAAATCTTAGTAACTTAAATCATCCCTTGATATGCTTAACTTAAATTGTGGCCAACTCTGATCCTTAAAAAGCTGATGGGAGAGTAATCAATTCTATTTCCTATTCATTACTCAGAAGTAAACCATACATCTGTCATGTGCCAGTTAATCTCCTCTGCTATTTCCCCTGTAATATTTATAACTTAAAAACATTCAGACTTTCCTTTTTAGTAGTTGGAACAAGCCATCAGTCAGAGGAGCTTCTGCCCTCATTGATGTTTCTGCAGCATATTAACAGGCATGCACACGTTTTGCTTACTCTTCTGATTTGACACTCTGCTGTTACATGAAAACAGAGTGAATTTCTTCAATTAGCATCAGGGAAGGTAGAAGTCGTGATGGATTTTTGTATGTGCTTAGTGATGTTGCTGAGTTTAAGCCAAATTTTTCTTCTTTTAGCCACTGAATACAGAGCAATACCTAGCACAGAAACACCTTTTCAAGCTTTGATTGCCTCTTTCTCTGGGAAGGGAGAATAATGAGCTATTTACTGTTCCATGCCATACCTCAGTGCATCTCTAACCATGGTCTCCAAGCCATTAGTGGTCCACAAGGACACAGTAAGTGCTTTGCAGCTGGGGTGCAGAACCATTTACAAACTAATCCCATTGTGGCTTGACTATTTCCTGTTTGCCTCCCCCCTTTTCACCCGCATAAGATGGGGAAAGACTGAATTCCCACTCCCTGGAATTGCCATGCTACTTCTCTGTGCAACTTGTAAGCCTAGGACACATGGATTCTTTGAATGGGATCTGAAGCTGATTCCCTTTATTGCTGTCTGTACCAGAGCAAATATTAGAGCAAGATAAAATCCCCAGTTTGTTGTGAGGATGGATGTGATTCCTAATAAAATTCAGATAATGTCCTAAAATGAGAACTTTGTTTGGCCCTGTGTGATTAGATGTGTCAGCATAGCATGCCACATGCTCAGAGCACAAACTTGATTGCCTTCTCTGCTTCATTACTTTTCTTAATACGCTCTGACACTGAATAGCACCCTGTTGGAGCCCTCGTCAGGCTAATTTCAGCACGACGTTAAGGAGAAGGATGTGGATGGCACAAGAGGAATTGAGATCTGAGTGAGTTTCGCCTCACTCATATCAATCCTGTTTAATCAGGCTCAACCTCCAGGCTGCTGTGCATTGACAGCCTTTTCTGCATCAGCTGTGCAGGGCGTTAAGAACCTGCACATCTTTGTATGCAGGTCAGTGACTGGTGTCTCCCTGCTCTCCTCCACGTTCGACTGAAAGAGAATCGCTAACGCAGCCACCTTACCGTGGCCACCCTTCGGTTTTAGCTCTCCTGAAGAAGCTTTAAATAATGTGAAGGGCTTTATCTTCCCCACTAGGATGAAATTTGCCCTCTTAAGGTGTATGAAGCCCTGCAGAACATAATTTGACAGGTTTGGGAAATGGAAGTGTTTCAGGGAGGCAATGCTCTGCAATAAAACCAAAGTTAGCCTTTAGTTTATTGCATAAACAACTTATTTTTAAAAATATGTAGCATATTAAAAATATATATACATGTATACATGTCCTGTGTTGCTGTCTCACAATTCCTGTAATTTTTCATAATTAATTTGTTCCTTTAGCTGAGAGGAAGGCCACACAGACCACAAGACTCTGCGCAGCCTTGGCTCTCCTGTTTAGTTGGGAGATTAGATGAGTAGGGTGGTGTTTTGCATGTTCTTGTTTCTGGACAGGATAAAAAAATCATTGTTTTATAGTGAAATCATTCTAATTCTGGACATACTTTTGCCAAAATGCCTACATGATTTAATGACAGTTTAACTTGTGTTAATAAAGTGCGTTAACACCGAATCCGTGGGCCCAAGATGCCGCTTTCCCACACAGCAGCATGTGCAGGACCCTGCCTTCAGGTGTTCTGCTCTATACGATCCAGGGCTTCCTATGTGGTGTAGACGTTCATCTCTCCCCTTCCTGTTGTATATGCCAGGTGGAGACTGACTTTTATTCTTGTGCTTTACACTGCTTTTTTTCAATCCTACATTAAAAAAAATGTGTTTTTGTACAGTGGGATGTTTCATGCTCAACTATGTCGAAGTACGTTCACAACCTGTTACAGCAGTTCCACAACATGTTAAATTAAGAAAAACAAAACACAACAAACAATTTGACAAGTCTTTTGGGGGAATATAATTGTGACTTTATTACAAACATTTTGCAAAAACATGACCAGGTTTGTATTTCTGCTAAAATAGATAAATGCAAAAATGGAAGATTTTTAAATTTCATTGTGATTTTTTTCTCCTAACACTACACTTGGAACTGCCTTGCTCTTTCTTCCAAAGTGTTGGGTCCCTTTCCATCTGTTACTTATCTCTCTGTGTGAGGAATTTAATGGAAGGAAGAAGCAGAACTTTCATATGAAAAGTGATGATCTCAGTATGAGCTGGGAGATGAATATTTCAGGCATGTATGTGGTGGAGAAGCTGCTGCCACAACAGGCAATATAAGCCTGAATTGGCCTAGCAATGTAAGATGCCCAGCAGACATAGAAAATGATCTCTTAGGGAAAAGCAGCAAAGGACCCTTCCTCATCCAGACCTTTTACAGTGAAACTATTAATTTAACTTTTTTAAATAATGTGTCAAGATCTTGGATGCCATAATGAGCAAATCTTGAAAGTGTCTTCCAGCCCCTAGTGCAGCACTGCTCATGTCTGCACCCCTCTGCCATTTCCAAATCCCTCATATAGGCTGCGCAGTGACTCCTGTGTCCCTTTCTGCTCTCTTCTCAAGGCCTATACCATTATGAAGGTGACCCATGGAGCAGATCACAGCCTGATGCAAGCCTTGATGGAACTAAAGGAACAGTGTGAGGCTGCCATGAGGATGCAGTGAAGAAAAGATGCAGCCTGGGAAGCAAGATATTAAAGGAAAAAGAAAAGCCAGTCCTTTTTATTAAATTGGAAAGCTTCTTGTTGATATTGGAGTCGTTTCATCAGGTCCTGCTTGCTTCACAGAAATGTGTTAACATTTGCTAGTTTTGATGTGTGGTCTTCTGAACTTTCCGAACTTTCCTTATGTTTTGAGGAATATTTGCCACTTTCAGAAGAATTTTAACTTCTGCAAGGCAAACTGGCAGTGGGTAAGTCTTAATATTTCATCATAATAAAAGCTCACCACTTTTATACATACAGACAGAAATAATCATACTCTTTTTTTGTTCAATAACCAAAACCTCCAATCCAAATAACTCTGAATACATAGAAAAATATTAGACTTGAATTCCAACATTATACTTGGCTAGGCTTCCTATGGAGCTTCTCCCATGCTCTTTTAGGTATCGATTTCTCTATCTGCACTAGCTCTGAAGTTATCACTAAGTCTCACCTTACTACCTGTCTTATGACTCAGTTTACTAGAAAACATTTTAAGGATTTTTTTTTCTACCAAACACCTCTCTGGTGAACTGATTAAAAATTATTGGAAAGTGTGTGGTAGATCCTCAGCTGTTGCAAAGTGGTATCATTCCATCGAGATCAGCAGTCAATTTTTTAGTCAGTTTACAACAAGATTGAGAGAGCAAGCGAGCATATTTCTTCCTTTTTGACTTCCTATTAGATTTTTTTTTTTTTTTCCAAAAGCCTGATCCAGTGCTCTTTGGTATCAAATAAAACTTTTGAATACTCTAAATGAGTTTTTCTTCCCTCCCAACTTACCTGCAGGGCTCTGGCATTCTTTTTCTTGCATTTCATGTTATTACACAAAGTTCTAATAATGAATATTAAAATGGACTGAATGAAAAATGTAATCAAATGTGCATCTGTGTTGAAAATGCTTATTATTCTGATATTCGCCCATTTTGATTGTTTCAATGGACACCATCATCAGATTTTCTCACTTCATAGCAGCTTACAAGACAGAGCCGTTTGTTTGTTTATCCAGGGTAACATGGATTAGAGACCAGTTCATATCTATTTAGATAAAAGAAGTTCCAGCTTCTTTCTTTTTCTTCCCCGCTCAAGAGAAAAATATTACAAAAGTTCCTAAGTCACTGAAGAAAAAAGGAGATATAGGAGTGCTGTCAACAGGATATATGCAGTTGTCTTTCCATAAACATGGTGCTCTTGTATGCTAAAAACACTTTTAAAAGGGGCATGTGCCCTTTAGGGCATATTTAGAGACAGATTTATACCTTCATCATGTGTCCAGATTTAAGAAAGCATTGAAGAAGCAACTTGAATGAATGGGTGACCTGGATCCAGAACATCCTTGTATTTACATCGAGTTCCTTTAGGACTGAAGTCAGATCAAAAGTTTATACCCAGAGATGATGTTTGTCTTTGAATCTGCAGCACCTTAGCTAAGTAAGGGAAATGTCTAAATAGATCTGAGGCAACAGCTTTGCTTTTGCACACTGGGCCAATGGTCTCAGTACAGATGCAAGAAGTTGGTGGGGTGCCTAGAGCTTGCAGTGCATACAAAGTTTTGATTTGCTGCTCCTGCTTGCCAAAATATTACTTTAAACTCCAGACTAGTATGCAGCATAGGTTAATGTAGTGACTTAATGCTAAACACAAACTATGAGTTTCTTCCAGATAAATGATCTTTCTAGTCACTGCAACCAGGTATAGTCAGCTTTTCTTCATTTATGTCAGGCAACAGAAAATGGCACTCCAGTATGTGAGTAGTCACACATGTTGGTTAGCATTATTTCTAAGCAATTTCGCTTTCTCTTTGGATAGCTATATTCTTTTCCCTCTCTTTTCCTTCCCTTCCCTCCTACCAAACATACTGGTGTGTTAGTACCTGGCATGTTTAATCTCTAAGTCCTACAGATGGTCGCTGAACTGAGAGATCGTCCCTCACCGCGTTCAAGGGGGAAGAAAAGCATTTCTTGGAAAATGAGTGCTCTGTTTCCCCACGCTCATCAGCATGAGAGCTGTAACTGCCAGTGATGCTGACTTCCATGTTTATCACAGAAACAAATGTTAACAAATGCCAAATATTTATGAGGAGCATTGGAACCTAAATAATTTAAGGTCTTTGAAAGTATCGCTTTCAGGTATGTCACTCCTCACTAACAATTTATTGCTGCTATTCCAGCCATGACTGTTATTTCATTAGTCCGTAGTTGTTGTAAAGTCAGGCTTTTTTCACACCAGTAACTTGACACCATTAATTATTATGAGATGAGAATGCATTTAAAAAGAAAGTGAACACTCTGGGCATAATTTACAGCCACAGCACATGAATGCCAATGCTGAGGAAGATATCTCCTTTAGAGGCATTTGAATTTGTTCCAGCATATGGAGCGTTCACTTGCCCAACAGCAATATTCAAGCAATAACCTCTAAAATGCACTGCATTTCTGGAGTATGTAGCATGACTTGAGGCCAGAGGCCAAGTTACACCAGCGACCCAAGAAGTGCAATAATCCTTGCAGAAATTCACTGCTTGGTTGTGTCTTCTTGCTATTATGAAAGGAAATTATCAGGGGAAAAGGTCAGACGTTTGTGTATATTAGGATTGCTGACAGAGCAGAGGCATCACTGATGGACAATCAGAAAATGTGAAAGGCACCCAACCTTCAAGAGTTATTTTTCTGCTTTTAAAGAGATATATGCATATTAAAATTATGTGTTTTTGCATAAAGATGATGCTTATGTAATCTTGCTATCACAATTAGATTTGCAAAGGATGCAAGAAGCAAAACTGGCCAGACCAAGGTGGCCTGCAGGGCCTGCGCCTGGGCAGGATCCCTAGGGCCCCATGCTGCGCTGCCCCACCTCGCCCCACACGTCAGCTCGCAGAGGTATAGGAACATCAACAGTGCTTTGCATTCATCACTGCAGATATAAAACTTGCATATTTTTCAGCTGAATTTTCTGGTTGATTTCAATTCCTTATGGAGCAGTTTCCCTGGGTGGTTCCCATGTACCACCACCACCATCTGGGCTGCTGATGCTCCTGGGAGCATTGTTGTTGGCATGTTTTCTCCTACAGTGTTTCCATCCTGTGTTTTCTGGAAAAAAAGAGGTTGGTCTTGACTGCAGAGAGATTTAGCTAAATGCAGAGCTGAGGAGCTCAGTCTCAAGCAAGTGTGTCAGGGAAGGAGGAGCACTGCACAAGCATTCATTTCAAGTCCAGGTAGTCTTGTTTTCTGTCTTTACACAAACACAGTGTTTTGGCCTTCAAAAAAGAAAAAAAAAGGAATCTTATAAACTTTTAGGTGGAATCCCTTTGCTAAGTTAAAGAAAGATGTTAAAGTCAAAAAGAGGCATTATATGTAATGCTGGCAGACCAGCTGCTTGCTTTTAGCACTTCGCGGAGTTTTCAGGTATCTTTTGGAAAACAATGGCAGTTTGGGTTCACCTCAAAGTTTAGAGTTAAATTCTGATATACTTTTGATTTTTCAGTATTTCTGAAATTAGTCTTGTAGGAGCAATATTAGATTGCCTTTAGATGAAGTTGAAATGTGTTTGGAAGGAGAACACGGAGGAAAAAACATGTGAGGGATATGAAGTTTTGCTGAAAATAATTCATTGCAGTTGAAGGAAACATCTACCTCCAGTAAATATATAAAAATATAATATTATATAAAATAGGAAATGAATATGTACACATTAGCTTCCTAAACAATATATTACAGCTGTGAGCTCCTTGAGGTCTATCACTTGCGTGTGAATCCTGTTGTGTGTGGGTTTAGGTCAGCAAAATTCTCCCACTACTCAGCCTTTCCTTTGCTTCTAGCTACAACCCTGCTCTGTGATGGCTGCTTTTTAAAGCTAGGTTTTCTTAGGCTTGTTATTTTACTGCCTACTATGTATGAGATACAGAGGCTTTTTCCCTGCACAGTGTATTTATTGCAAATAGTCCCTGGCCGCTGGAACACCCTTAATGAGGAGAGCTCAGTTTCTCACAGACGTTGTGCCAATTATGAGGATTTTTTTTTTCCTGACTCAGAATTAAATCTCCTGTAAGACACAGGGAAGAAGGAAGGCCTCACAGCTACAGCCGTGGAGCGCCAGGTTGTCAGCAGCACTGGAGACTGTGTCTGACCTTGGGCAAGTCACGTAGGGTTACTTGGCATGCACAGTCAGGCTTTGCCTTTGCTGAGCCTTGGGAAATTTCTCCCCGCTGTAAAGAGCACAAAGGACCAAAGGAACTGGATATGGTGCTCTTCACACCTCTGCATCGCTACTTATCTTCCTGTAAGAGCTCAGGGAGGCTGTGTGCATTCCTGAAGCGCATTATCCGTAGGGCAGTAGGAGAGTCACTCACAGATAATGATGTAGTTCTTAAAATACCTCAAAGTACTTTAAAAAGAAGGCTAAATATTATTTCCCTATTGAGGAAAATAAGGCTCGTAGCGAAATGAACCAGTGTGTTCAAGTTCACTCAACGGAGCAAGCCCTGGAGCTAAAGCTGGTATCAGCAGTCTGGGGGTCAGTGACTTCTGATGCAGAAAAAGCATTAAAATAAGCAGCAAACTCCGGTACTCCATAGAGATGTCTGTCACTGAGCAAAGTAGCAGTTATAGAAGGTATTAATTATAGGAAAGGAATCTTTGACCAGCTAGCTTTTGGGGAAGAGCAGCAAACAGCTGGTTGCTGTGTTAATCTACAAGCCCTAACCATGTCCTGTGTGAACTTGTCCAGATGGGTTACAGATCTGTGGCTACACTCAATATCTCAGCCCTGTTCCTGCCCTCTCTGCTTGTGGGATGCATGCGATGAAATGACCTCATCCCCTTTCCATGTTGTAATCGCAAGTATGACTTGAAAGTCCCTCCAAAATGGAGTTGGAACCCCGCTGTGGAGCGCTCTGAGCTGCACCTCCGGCATGTGGGAAAGGCTCCTTCTCGCCTCGACAGGTCAGCACGTCTAAAACACAGTCAGAGTAACCCCTGACAA